TACTATTGATGTAAAAATATTATAATACTAGCTTATACTTGCTGCAATGCTAAACTTTCTGTCTGTGCTTATGTATACCTCCTTTCCTATTCGTACTTTGATTCCTGGAACGACTCATAATACATGACTAATTCCTAACAACTTGCTGACGCCAACTAATTACGAACCAGCTAACTCTTCGTCGTCGTTTAACCGCTTGCTCTGGCAACCGATTGCTGACCATAACGAGTGACCAAAATCGTACGCAATAATTCGTTGCTTTCTTTCTTTGAACACGTCGGCATGACATCACTGAATAAAAATTATTGAGAAGCAATAAATTTATTATTTTGTTTTGCCTGTTTTGTTATACTCAAATGTAATTAAAGCTGAGAAGATATTACAATTTTGGAACAAAAAATTCTTCGACGTGCAAGAAGTTAACCACTTGCGCTGGCAACCGATTGCGGACCATAACGAGTGACCAAAACCGTATACAACAATCCGTCGCTTTCTTTTTTTGAACTCGTAGGTATGATATCACTGGATAGAAATTATTGAGAAGAAATAAATTTATTATACTTAAATATACTTAAAACTGAGAAGATATTGCAATTTTTGGGAACAAAAAATTCTCGACGTGCGTGGCATTCCAGCGCAAGAGGTTAAATGCACAACAACAGCGGATGCAACTTGAAACACGTATGAGCGAGCAAAGGTCCTCCAAGAGGTGAAAAATTTGAAACTGAATCAGTTGTTATTTGCGTGCAGGTACTGCAGATTACTCGGCGCGAAGCAGCCAGGCGGCCTCCTCTAGCAGATGCTACGCGGCCGTCATCACCGCTCCGAATCACCGCGTAAAAACATGGAAGTGGGTCAGATAGTCGGCGAAACCAAGTGCCCCCTCCCTCCTCAAGTCTACTAGGCGCTGCGACGCAATAATTTACCGTAAACTTTCAACGTGACGCGGCTCCATGATGCTTTCCTCCTTGCGTTCTCCTCCGGTCTCCTCGCCGTTCGATGCAATTCCCCCCTCGTCGTCGACCGCGAGATCGCGAGTCTCGTCCCTTCCCGCGAGGAACCCAAGTACGAACAACGTCCTCGAGAGGCGGTAGACTGTCTTCGAGTGTTGTAAGAATTCGTAGAAAGCCGAGAGAGTGGACTCGTCGCTGACAAACAGTGGGACACGACGCGCGATCCCGTGGCGTTCTATTATCGAGGGAAGGAGCTCGTCAAAATTTACGAGGCGTTCGTAAACGCGAGAAAGCGAACGAGATCGAGATACGTATTCGTGGGATCGAATACCGGGAATTTCGCTCGGGCCAACTGGATCCTGGGATCGTTCCATCGCTCCGCGCGGCAATCGTTTTAATATTCCCGGGGGTTAGGAACGATCGAGCGTTCCATTGTGAACGTGCAACGCTCGGCCGGGCAGGAGAAAGTCGGCGGGAATTTTTGGCGCGCGATTTCTTTCTATCGTGCGCGTGGGAGGGAAATTAAACGAGATCGAGTTGTTGTCGATCGAGCGGACGACCGATTATTCGCGATTCGGCGTTTTCGCTCGCCTTCACCCGCGGGGAATCGAAACGTTTGCCGATAATTCGGCCGGAACGTTTGGATTCCACGCGGCGACGGAGGAATTGAAACTTGTTGCGCGAGCGAACGGGCCAATTAATCGCGGCGGATCGAAATTTCCGTGGGCCCTTTGTCATGCGGGCGAAATCCGAGCTGGTTCGTGTTAATTAAATTTAATTGATCGTCGCTCTGGCACCGCGAGGTTTCTACGTGGCAGCGTATCAAAGAGAGAGCACAGACGCGTGCCAAGACGCGCATCTTCTCGCGACGCGTCGGATCCATAAATTTTTCTTCTTGTCCGAAAGAAAAACCGATCTTTTGCGCGCCATGTGATAACGCATCACTTAAACAATCTGTTCCTAGCCATTACGACAGCCACGTAATCGCTGTAAATATATTTTTTGTTTCCTTTCTTTTTTTTTTTTTTTTTTCTTCCATTTCGTTTCGTTCTGTTTGTACGCTGGTTTCTTCTTTGTCGAGCGTGCTTCAACCAGGTTGCAGTGTCGTCGCTTTAGATCTTCGTCCACCTCGCTGTTTTTACTCGCAGTTTACTTCGTATCTCTTCGTACACGAGGAGAGTACGAGTTACGATTTATTTAAGAAAGGTGGAAGCAAAGTACGTCGAGCGTCCTTATGGCACGTTAACGATTACATGTACGGAGAAATTCCTGCGTGTGGCGGTGGCAAAATTCTCGCTAGACGTTGGATCTTTCTGGTCCACGACGCAGCACGGAAGAGGGCTTAATTTATGGCAACCTCGAGTGCTTTCGCTTTCTCTTCCTCGAAGCCAGGCGAATTTAAACCTCACGTAAACGTTGTGTGTTTAGGTTAGATTAGATTTAGGCCACATTAGATTTAGGTTAGGTTAGGTTTAAGTTCGAATGCTTCAAGCGTTCGGTGCTTTACGTTCTTCTTCTTCGCATGTAGATTAGATTAGATTTAGGTCAGGTTTAGGTTCGAATGCTTGAAGCGTCCGGTGCTTTACGTTCTTCTTCTTCGCATGTAGATTAGATTAGATTTAGGTTAGGTTTAGGTTCGAATGCTTCAAGCGTTCGGTGCTTTACGTTCTTTTTTTTCGCACGTAGATTATATTAGATTTAGATTAGGTTTAGGTTCAAATGCTTGAAGCGTCCGGTGCTTTACGTTCTTTTTCTTCGTATGTAGATTATATTAGATTTAGGTTAGGTTTAGGTTCGAATGCTTGAAGCGTTCGGTGCTTTACGTTCTTCTTCTTCGCATGTAGATTAGATTAGATTTAGGTTAGGTTTAGGTTCGAATGCTTGAAGCCTCCAGTGCTTTACGTTTCTTTCCTTCGCATGTAGATTATATTAGATTTAGGTTAGGTTTAGGTTCGAATGCTTGAAGCGTTCGGTGCTTTACGTTCTTTTTCTTCGCACGTAGATTATATTAGATTTAGGTTAGGTTTAGGTTCGAATGCTTGAAGCGTTCGGTGCTTTACGTTCTTTTTCTTCGCACGTAGATTATATTAGATTTAGGTTAGGTTTAGGTTCGAATGCTTGAAGCGTTCGGTGCTTTACGTTCTTTTTCTTCGCACGTAGATTATATTAGATTTAGGTTAGGTTTAGGTTCGAATGCTTGAAGCGTTCGGTGCTTTACGTTCTTTTTCTTCGCACGTAGATTAGATTAGATTTAGGTTCGAATGCTTGAAGCGTCCGGTGCTTTACGTTCTTTTTCTTCGCACGTAGATTAGATTAGATTTAGGTTAGGTTTAGGTTCGAATGCTTGAAGCGTCCGGTGCTTTACGTTCTTTTTCTTCGCATGTAGATTATATTAGATTTAGGTTAGGTTTAGGTTCGAATGCTTGAAGCGTCCGGTGATTTACGTTCTTTTTCTTCGCATGTAGATTAGATTAGATTTAGGTTAGGTTTAATTTAGGTTCGAATGCTTCAAGCGTTCGGTGCTTTACGTTCTTTTTCTTCGCATATATGTTAAGTTAAGTTTTGGTTCAAATACTTCGAGCGTCTGGTGCTCTACTTTTTTTTTTTTCTTCGAGCACGAGTAAGCAAATAAATTTCGCGCGCGCGAAATTCTTAAAAAGCACGCGTTCGATGCTTACACATGGTGGCAATGTTTGGAGGAGCAAACAATACACCTTCGATTTCTAAAGTGTGTTTTCGCGCCGTGTGTTCCACGAAATCCCGAGTTACGCGTTTAATGTATTCGAACTGCGTCAACGTTACGCGAGATTCGCTGGAAGAGAGGCCTGTGCCGGAGATTCGTGGAAAAGTGGCGAACTTATCCGGTGATTATGCGAGTTGCTCGAGTTTGCGCGGGAATAGCGGGAAAATTAGCCGGTGAAACAGCGACGAAAACCGTTCGAGATTTCGAATCCCAGCTGCGTTCGAGCAATTCTCTTGCAACGTATTGCACAACGTCTTTGTCGATCGATGTCACGACGCGCGTCACGCTTTTTTTTTTTTTTTTAATTCGGAACGAAACGGCACCGGGAGAAAAATAAACGAAGAGAACCGAATAATTTCGTAAAAATCAGCGCGCTGAAAAATACGTAGAAATTTCGAAGGAAAGAAAATTCAGCGAAAAGGTGCTGGCTATCGATCGGCGAAGGAATGTAGGCGAAGCGGTCGCCCTTACTGCGCACTAGCGTCTACGTAACTCGCAATCTGATTGCCCCGCTAATGGGGCAGACGGGAAGCCACAGAAGGCAATTGACACGTGTAAACAACGGATCGCGTTCGGAACGTTCGCGACGGAACGACTCGACGAATTCCCAACTGGAGGTGCTTCCGCTAATTTCCGGTCTTGACAACCCCAGCAATCGGACTGCCTCGCCCGTCGTTTCGTCGCTTTGTATTCCGCTCGGTAGTTCGCAGAGACAGGTCGAACGTCCTGGACAGTTTTGCCAACCGTCATAAGGATTCTATAAATCCTTTCCGCGGGCAGAAGCAGCTCGTGGTATGCCGCCTGGACCGCTTGGACGGGATCGTGCAAAGCACGTCAGATCCTCGAAAGAGAACGGGACGAAAGTAAGCAAACGTCCAAAAGTAATCGGCTGAGTGGCGATTATCGTTAACAGTCGCTCGGACACCGGGTATCGTTCACCCGAACTGAGCTAAGCACGCTTGCGAGTCGTTTAGTCGCGAATACCTCGTAATTGGTGGACAACATTGTCCCAACGACGTAATTGATCTCTCCCGGCTTCCTCTGTTGCCGATAAAATCGTCGATCAGAAAGTATACACGATTATCGTTTTACCGACCCGCAAGATCGAATATCTTATCCTTTCGAGCACGATGGTTCTCACAATTGGAGCCGTTGCATAATTAACTCGCCGCTTAATTGCCCGCGTCCCCTGCCTCTTTTATATAATTATTATTTGACGAAACGTGACGGAGCTACGTGGAACGGGTATTGCGCAAGAGCGTGAAATTCGACGGAGAAACGAAAGAAAGCACGGGGATACGTACGTCGTCCTCTCTCTCTCTCTCTCTTGGTAATTTCTTCTAGTCATTAGGAATGAAAAACCTACGTTATCCTCCCCTGAAAAAAAGAAAAAAAAAAAAAAAAAATGAAAGAACGAGACGCTTGTTTTGAAGGGAACGGTACAACGTATGACGCAGAGAGCTAAGCACCCGGTTTATGTAATACGGTAGATATACGTACATACCTGTCCGCGTGCGGTGGTGTGCGAGCGCGATCACACGCGCACCGACACGCTTCGGCTCCGCGTCCGCTCGTCTAGCCGCGCACACGGACACAAGTACGAGCGTCGCGGTCTCGCGCACGCGAGCTCGCACCGCGAGAACTGCGCCGCGACCTACTTGTCTAGGCCACTGTATCTACGTTTCTGTGTACGGCTTGTGTTTTGTGTGAAATTCGCGTCCGCCGCGCGATGCGGAATCGCTCGCTCGCTCGCTCGCCTAGCCGCGCGTACACTTTCCTGCCAGATTCCAGGCGATCGTCGATCCTCAACGAGGCGGATACGTCTCGCGGAATAACCGCCGGCGAACATCCTCCTCGTGTCCTGCGTGTATGTCTAGAAACACGTGCCGCGCGTTTCTCTTGCTACGCGTTTCTCCGGTATCGATGGTATGGCTTTTGGACGAGGAGTGTTTGAATTTATAATGTCGTTTCCTGCTACTGTTAATTTTTAAGTATTTCTTTTTTTTTTCTGTTTCTCGATGTACCAGTGACAACGAAGAATTGTCAGTCTCGTTTAAACTGATGTAATTTCGTAAAATTAATCAGAAAATTACATCTACGAGGTCTCGTTTTAACGCATTTCTTCAGTATCGACAGTACGGATTTGAATTTCTAATGTACCAATGACAATGAAAGATTGCCAGTCTCGAACTGATATGAATTTCGTAAAATTAATGAGAAAATTACATCTACGAGATCTCGTTTCAAAGATCTCGTGAAACTCCTACTCCGACAGTCGAGTTTGTTTCTTAGAAGATTATTTCATACCACGTAGCGAGTTTCTTTTTGAAAGAAAGACTCAACTCTGCTCTCTACAACGACCCTCTAAAATTCATTGTATTGATTCTTCTTCGTTCTTTGAATATTTGAATTAAACGACGAAGATTGAAGAAATCGCGCGAGTTTCAAGGGGTCGTTGAAGAAAATTTCAATCTTCAAAGGCAGTAACGGATTTTTTTAATGTTTTCTACAAAAGCTCGTCGCGTGTCATTGTTGAAAAGAACGAACATACGAACGTACTGTCAAAGTAGAATCCTCACGCTTCAGAACGAGACCGAGTGGATCGTTTTTTTTTCATTGTCACTGGTAGAGTTATGCCTTTCACTGTAGTACCAGTCGCTCCGGCGACTGTGTACGACTGTAAAATACATCGTTAGACGCTTGCGAAAAGAAGGAGAGAGCGAGTTCGCTGTCGGGCGAACGTTAATGTTCGGGCGAGCCAGCAAATAGGAACGGATCGATAGGTGCTTCGGGAAATTGTCATCACAAGTTCGGGGTTAGAAACTTCGAACTAATCTGGGCAAAGTTGGACGACGCCCGGCTAGCTGGACACACACGTAGCCGCGTATTTCCTCGAGCGGGAAATTATCACGGCGAACTGCGAACCTCGGAGGGGGGTTGGGGATCAGATGTCGGGTTGAAGCTGGATCTGTTCGCAGTCGAACGATTCCGCGGGGAGGAAAATACGCGCGATAGGAGAGCGACACGTCTGGACGGACGGACGGACAGGTTGGCAAGGACTGGCAACTTCGTGAGAAGATCTCGACCCGGCTCGACTTGGTCGAGGCAATCGCCGTTTCGAAAGCAAATTGACCCTAAATATTCCAAGAGTACGTTCGTAATTTGGCGAAACGTTGGACTCGGGATAGGGTTTGGATCGTCGCGCTGGAAAAATCGAGGCTCGATCGATCGATTTTGAAACGAATCCAGAACGAATCCGGAGATAGTCGGCTCGCGTTTGCGAAAATTGTGAAATTTCTAGCGGCCACCGGAAGACGATCGCGCTGTCCTTCCGGTTTGTTTTCGGACCCGGCGTAGTAGCGCAGCGTACGGAGCACAGTCTAAACAACAATTAACTACAGTTACCGGTGCGCCGGATTCCGGGGAATCTGGAACGCGACTGTAAGAAGCAAAGTAAGCGGTGTTTCTCTCTTCGGCCTGTCTCGTGTCTCTTCGTCGTCTCCTTCGCTCCCTTTTCCTTTCACCCCTTGTCCCCACCTGGCGACGCCACGACGATATGAAGCGGATTCCAGGTTGTAACGGAGAATCTTGACTCGCGAAGAAAAAAAAAAGAAACAGAAACCATAGAAAAATCGCGCGAAACACGGCGTCTTTCGAACGGAAAGAGGGTAGAGAAATGATTTTTCGAGAAGCTCGTTTCGTCGGGAACGTGCTGCAATTTTGCGCAATGCAGTCTGGTGAGAGAAGCATGGCGCACGCAGCAGCTCGGTATAGTTCGGCACAGCTTAGTACGTACGTACGTACACTTAGTAAAAAACAAGTCTTTATACACCTAACGCTTACTATTAAAATCTTTTAATAATTTTGTTTTACGTGTTAACAAATAAATAATTCTTCTTTCATTAATGAAAGCGAACAATTTTAAATAATACCTCGACAATTATTACTACATATTACAGTTAGAATTCAAATATGATACTGTACGAAGACTTTTTTTTACTATAAATGTACGTACGTAGTTAGTTGCGGGGACCAGGTCGACTCGAGTCGATCGTAGGGGATCCCGACGAGGCTGTCGTCACCGGACGATCTACTACGTCTACGTGTAGACGGGGGCCTGCTGCCTCGAAAGGTGGGAGGATTTGTTTGTAAACAGTGGATGGCAAGTGGAGTTGCGGATCGCGCGCGCCGACGTGGCGGTGGGAAGAGCGCTGGAAGGACGCTGGCACGGGGACAGGAGGGGAGACTTTCTCCCTGCAAGGGTTACGTAACCTGAGCGCGCGGCTGTCGGCAGTCTGAGCATTGCGGGAACGACCTACTTGACCCACTGTCCCTAAGCGCGGCCTCGCGGATCGAGCCAAGGGGATCGGAGATCGGGGATCGGCTCTAGCGATCATCGCTTCGATGCACTCGACCCGTTCCACACCGACCGGGCCACGAGGGTCGCGTCCAACGATTGCCAATGCTCCTCCTCTCTCTCTCTCTCTCTCTCTCTTCCTTTCATTCGTTCTAGCCACGTCTCATACACGCCGATTCTCTCGACTACACGCTACATCTAGATGCGTTTCATCGCAGAATTCCGCGTCGTCTGACGTTTGTCGTTGGCCAAGTAGAAGAATATTTGCCGGCTACAGTGTCAATATTTGTCGTGTCGTTTCGACGACGGTACGGTTGCTCGGGTTGCCCGTCAGTTTTTCGGAAAACCGAAACTGCTTGTCCGGGATCCGCTTTCGGATCTGGCTTTTGAAACAGGCAGCTGACCGACGGCCGACGTGAGCCGGTTACGAAAAGAGAAACTTTCTGGACAAACGGCCGTGCAACACTTTCTTCTATCGCAATCGCGCGTACCCGGTGTCAGAATCTAGGATGGCGGGGTCGTGGCGTCGGCGGAAGCCTTCCAACGCAACGCGAGCCAACGCGGTTGGTAAACAATGACCGCAGTTAGATTTAAGTTCGACTTTTTTTCCTCCTCTCGCAGGTTCACGAACCGAGCTGGAAGAATTAGAGAGAGAGAGAGCACGTTCGAGCGTGACCTATTTGATCCGTTCCATTGGAGCGTACCAAGTGCAATTCGGGTCGCCACGGTCGACCACTGCGCTCGACCCACTCGAGATCCGGGCCCGGTCACATCCGGTCCATCCGCCGCGAATTCTTAAATAAACGACCCGTGAATCCAATTCGACGGCGCGGCCGTGATCAAAATATTTTAATCCTTCCAAGCGGCATATCTGCTACCTACTCTCGAGAACTACGTTCAAGATCGACGTGACGTTTCCGTTAACGAAAGGAAATCGTCTCGAGTCTCGTCGAAAGTTTTATTCGAGTGGAAAAATGATTATTCGAAAGCTCTCCTGCCTTGTTCAGTCGACGGAAAAAAAAAAAAAAAAAAAAAAAAAAAAAAAAAGAGGAAAAAAAAAAAAAAAAAAAAAAAAGAAATGATTGGAATCTGTGCCGCATCGACGATCGTGTCGAGGCGTGAGGCTTCGATGTGTTGACCTTGCGACGTGCGTGGGACGCGCCGGGGAGTAGAACAGGTTCCGTTACACCTTCCAGCTTCGAAACATTCCATCGGAGCCTCCTGCCTCCACTTCTTTTTGCCTCCTTTTCCCTTCTCGAAGGGTGACGGTAATTTTCGCACTGGCGACCTCTGACGTGACTCGTCCACTGCGAACCGAACCATGGCTGGCGCGACGTGAAAACGAGGAGAAAAGAAATTTCGCGTACCGTCGATGAACTGCACGGCTGTCCGCTATCACGGTGACATTTATATTTGATTGCCTCTTACATTTACAGGTAGTAAACACTGGTCGTGACTTAAATCGGTGACTGGACGTGGAGATTCGAGATCGCCGTGTGGACGTTGATTAATATTAAAACGAGGAACCGTTTTTTTTTTTCAGTACGACTTGAGCCTAGGAGGACTTCTCACTGTAGATCGACCCATGTTCTGCCTTCCACTATTCGATAGCTTGAGAATAATAAATGTTGCAATATCCGAAGGATCAAACGTTGCCCGAGGAATTGGCATTCGCTGACGGAGAACATTCTCAGGAGAACGTCTCGCTTGGAAATTTCTTCATCTTCTTTCAACGTAACGATCCGTCAGCGCTACGCGTAGATTACAGCTCAGTTACGAAGAAATCTGTTTTCTACAATTTGGAATTTCATCGTCGTTCAATATAGTTCCAATTCGTTAAAAACAGAGCGAATGAGCGACTTTTGCTGATCGTCGGAGTTTAACGGAAGTCGTCCTGGAATCAAGCGTCACACCGTGCAAACAGATACATCCCGCGGCTTGTGTTTCTGCATGATAGTCGAAGAGCGTTCGTTTACATAGATACGTGGAATCGTAAAAATCGTATGTTCTCCTATGCGATGCGCTAAATAAATGTAGAGTCCGAGCCGGGTGGTAAAAATATTGCTACGATGGTCACGATGTTTGCGATGTTTACGCGGGTAGCTCCCTCTCTCTGGACAGGAACCACACGTTCATCGGATCCGACTTGCCCTTCATGGTCACGGGTCCTCGGTACTCCAGCAAAAATTGGGGATCCTGATTCTCCGGCATGCACAGGTATCTGCAACGATAATGAAGAGTATAAATTCTTAAAAGTATGGAACTTTATTTCCGAAGAATCAACTGCAACAGCTTATTACAAACTGAATATAATGGAAATCAAAGCTCAAAGTCACAAACTTCCCTTTACACCTTAAGATATTCGCCATAAGCGTACATTTCCATAGGGAGCGTGCGTATCCATCTCAATTTCGAGGAACATGGTGGTAATTTATCATCGTAAGCGTATTAATTACCAAGACTCGACGCGTAACAACGTGTAATGCTGCAGCACTATTCAGCAAAGGTGAAAGCTTCACGAAGCTGGCCTCACGAAACCGTTGTCCCCTTCGATGGTCGAACAGAGGAAGCCCTTGGACTATACTTATTTAACGTCTAATCGAATTAGCCCTCTCTTGTTTCCGCGGTTGTCTCTCGTGTGTCAGCCGTCATTCGTTAGCGAGCAATGATCGCGATAGTTTGCTAGCACGTCTCGAATCATCGTTGCTGACGACGTATCGGGGTCCGTTCGAGGTACGAGCGTAAAGAAAAAACCGAGATGGAGGTGTTGATCGACTGTTACTTCGACAAACTGTTCGAGGAGATGGATCGCAGTTGCTTGGCCTCTCGGTACAAACGTCGCGAGATGGTCGACTACTTTTCAGACGTGATAAACAGCTGCTCGCGAGGTAATGGCCCCGCATTGTAAAATATCATTGTACTGTAACGATCGCGACGAGTTGAAGAACCACGGAGTGGTTCGTTTCAAAGAAGTGATTTCGTTCGTGGCGATTTACCGTAACGTCTAACGGAGATTCAAGGAGAATCGATTCGAATCGGTCCCGATGCGTGTCAACGCACTTGGACGAACGTTTTCGATCGGCCGATCGCGTTAGAAAATTATAGTGCGCGACCATGAAAGTGGTTCGATCGCGAACACCGGATAGAAAGTGATCCAAACGTAATGTTATACGCGGGAGAAACCTGTGCATCGCTTCGCTTCCACATGATTTTACTTTCTTTGAAAAATTATGCAAACCGACCACCCGAAGCGACGCGAATGGAATCACTTGTCCGTGAAAGTGTTTCGCAAGTCGTTCGATCACTCGCAGGATGATTTGAAAAAACTATATATATAGGGTGGGCCGGAAATTGTAGTATAACTGAGAGCAGAGGGTAATTCTACGTCAAAAAATAAGACAAAAATTTGGCATAACATTTTTTTATCCGGGGCTCGGTTTTCGAAAAAAATCGACTTTAAATTTTGTTCATCTTTGTAAATGATTTAGTTGTCTATACTTCTACCGCGGTTTACAAACATTATTTATTGTGTGGTTAAAGCAGTACAAAGTGTTCCTACTGATAATTAATTTTTTATTCCTTATTACTATTTTCTATTGCAATACTACAATACGGTGCACTGTTACAAGTATCGTTGAAAATGTCCTGCTCGTTGCTGCATACATAAGTTTGCTCGGCGAATTAGTGATATCTGAGGAGAATATAAGCTGATATCGTTTTCTAATTTCTCGAATTCCTCCATAGTCTATTGCTTCAAATGTGTAATATTTGAAATATTGTCTTTGTAAACTCTTTATAAAGTTCTTTATATGCTCTTATAAAGAAAGATCTAGAGACATGAGGTCCGGAGACCTTAATGAGATTTATATATATATATATATATGTGATAAAATTTAGTTAATATACGCGGGAATTCACTTTAACGAAAACTATATAAATCATTTAATCCGATATACTTATTTTCTATCGAAATAAATTTGAAGCTTTTCGAAATTTAAAGATTGACGACACGTTGCAAAAGAGTTTTACATTTCCGAGGAAGTGGAAGATCGTGCGGTCATCGTGAATTATTGTGAAACGGTGACATTACTATTAAGTTGCCGACTTTCACCACGACAACCGTCATACGTAACCATACTCGTGGTAATCGTTAATTAGCAGGAACAATGATCGTAAATATCCTTCGAACAACTCTCTGATTAGATCGTATCACGTTGTACGCCTGATTTACAATAACGAATCTAACCTAGATCTACCTAAACGTAGTCTCCCGTTCGACAGATTCCTTCTTGCAACCAAAAATTATCCTAATCCGATCATCTTCCAGCAAATAATACCTCGTGTCGTCAGACTAAAACTGAAACACGGTGCAAAAACGTTTTTGCTGAAAAGTAGTCTAATTTACAATTCACGACAACGAGTCTAACTTTTAGATTGATCTAAACACAGTCTCCTGTTCGATAGATTCCTTCCTGCAACCAAAAATCATTGCCATTTCAATAATAAATAACACTGAAACTGAAACAGGGTACAGAGGCTGGTCTAATCTGAAATTTCTCAAACTTTCAGCTGAGAATCTAGACAAGCAAGACGTGTGCGAGAGGATAGTGATGTCAGCGCTCCGCTACCACAACATCACGATGATGGAGAACGGGCACGTGTGCCTCCTCGGCAAGTTCCACAACGTGCTGTACGTGGCGGCGAAGCTCTGCTTCGACTGGAACCTGAACAACAACGAGATCGTTTCCAGACTGCTCAACGACATCTACTACTGCGAGAAGACGTTCGAGCGCATCCTAGTGGGCGCCATTTTCGGCACGCGAGTGACTCACTTCCTGTCCGGTTGGAAGAGCGACTTCGAGGACCGCGAGGAGAACCTCCGAGCGCTGCTTTACTTCCTGCATCACGCGACTCTAGGGAAACTGGAGTATCGTTGCACGTTCACGCCTGTCAAGAGACGGTTCATCGACATCCCCATGGAATCCTACGGGCAGGCGTTGCCACTGAGAGTGGCCATACAACACGGTGCCCCGGATATTCTTTTGATCATGCTCCGTTACGGGGCCTCGGTCGAGCCGGACAGGCTAGCTCCATCGCCGCTCGAGATGCTCCTGAACAAGCTGAGCGAGTACGACGCCCAACCGGGCCAAGATCGGATCGTGTATCCGGAACAGTTGCTCCTCTGTCTGAGGCTCGTGCTGAGGACCGTGTCGAGCGCGTTCTTCAAGACACCGGGGCACATCGCCGAGCAGAGCGGCGTGTTCAGCGTTTCCATTTACGAACAGTACCCGACGCTCGTCGAGCAGAAGCTGCTGCCGCCGGAGAGGAGTGGCTTGAGCCCGCCGGAATTGAGGCATCTCTGCCGATGTCGTATCCGTGAGACCTTGTTCGAGAATTGGGCGTTGCCGCACGGGATTCGGGAACTACAGATCCCCGAGTCGTTGAGGAATTACCTGGACCTTCTTCGTGATTGAGGACGCTGCGCGAGCAGGTGCGCGTACACCGTGGGTTCACTGGGTCCAGGCATTTCGTGAAACTTTACCACGGGGGAAGTCTTGCATCATATTTCGAAAGACTTTGTCCTCTTTTGCAACTGGGATCTTTTAAAATTTAACGATCGTTTCTTAAAACGGTAGACTTCCAAGTTTATGCTTTGAAAATATATATTTTGGAATCATTCGGAGTGTCTGCGTGTGGGTGTTGAATAAACGTAACGTAGAAACGTATCGGACAAACGAAGAAGAAAGTGACTTTTTAGATGTTTTAAAGGTGGAGCATCACGTGCCTATATTGTATACCGACAATAATACGATTAATAAATTGTACACGCAAACGAGAATTTCTCTCTTCCCCTTTCAGTTTTCGTAGATATAACAACTGTCCAACCTCTCACAATCTCTGACCGTCTCTGAAAGAAAGATGTGAGAAAGAAACGTATTTGCAGAACGAAATAGGTCACACGATACAGATTTACGAGATCCGCAGTTCGTTTCAAGTTCGATGAAATCGAACAGATACACACCATCCGAAGTATGGTTCGAAGAGTTTGACGCGCGAAATGCACGCGTAACATGTTGGCTAAAATGTTTCGAAACTTGTTCGCAACTTTTGATTCAGTTTCTTCTCACAATGCGTTTCAACGTTACACGCGTGTCCAACTTTCTGATCGAACACCGCGGTAACAGGAATTTTCCATTCTCGCGATATTTCACCACATTTTCCTGCCAAGAAATTCTCGATCGAACGCTTTAGCATTTAATAATATCTTTGAAAAGTCGTTCGCGCAAGTGAATTCAATTGATCATCGCTAATTCCACTTTTCTGTAGAAAACGATTTTATACTTAAAAGAGAGACTATTTTACACTCAAGTACCTGTGTGTGCCTGATCGAAAACATTTTGTCCGGGACAGTATTATAAACTCGCGATGCGACATGGTATTTCTCGTTTAATATTCGGGCGATATGTTGACATTAACGTGTACTCGGTTGAGAAGCAGGACGTAGCATTTTTAGGACACACAACGATCCTGGATGTTCGATTATTGGAAAACTTTGTCACGTAGCCGGCCATCGATATCGAAATTGTTAAGATAAATACTCGGCCGAGAGTGGTAGAGAACGATTTATTACGAACGTCTGCCAAACAATGGTCGAATTCCAAGCGCTGTTCCAACTTGGAACGTTAAACGCGGCAATTAAGAAGGGAATCTAGGTCTAGTCGACAAAAGCGATGTCGTTCTCCAACGACACGACAGTTTGGTTCAAATCGAGAAAAAGAAAAGGCAAAGAGCTAGATTTAGAATATAACATTCGTTTCTATTAAAATCACTTTTAACGAAGGATTCGTCATTGAAGGAAAAGTCAAGTTCAAGTTTATCCTGCGTCCTAGTGAATTTTAAAACTTGGAGCAATACTCGTAATACGTTCTTCAACGACACGACAGTTTGGTTCAAATCGAGAAAAAGAAAAGGCAAAGAGCTAGATTTAGAATATAACATTCGTTTCTACTAAAATCACTTTTAACGAAGGATTCGTCATTGAAGGAAAAGTCAAGTTCAAGTTTATCCTGCGTGCTAGTGAATTTTAAAACTTGGAGCAATACTTCAGACGCCAATATATTTTCGCGAAATATTTTGTCACTTTCTGGGGTAGGGGTGTGAAAACTCGGTTCATAAATTTCAAACTTTACGAACACAAGCTACACCGGTTGCAATCGAAAGTTCAGTTTGTCAGTGGATTATATTTTTCATAACTCTCTTACCCGTTGTTCCAGTTGCGCCACGATACTTCACCATCCGACTGTCGTGAATTTTTTGTCCCAAAATTGTAACATTTCCTCAATTTTAAGTACATTTAAATAAAACAAAATAGGTAAAACAAATAATAAATTTATTACTTTTCAATAATTTCTATCCAGCGATATCGTATCAAAAAGAAATCGACGAATTATATCGTATACGATTTGGTCACTCGTTAAGGTCCGCAATCAGTTGTCAGCGCAAGGGGTTAATCTTAACCTCTCGCGCTAGAGTGACGTGCCACATCGAGAATTTTTTCTTCCGAAATTGTAATATTTTTTTCAGTTTTAAGTATATTTAAGTAAAACAAAATAGGCAAAACAAATAATAAATTTATTACTTCTCAATAACTTTTATCCAGTGATATACCGACGAGTTCAAAAAGAAATCGACGAATCATTGTATATGGTTTGGTCATTCGTTAAGGTCCGCAATCAGTTGTCAGCGCAAGGAGTTAATCTCTTGCGCTGAAATGACGTGCCACATCGAGAATTTTTTCTTCCAAAATTGTAATATTTTCTCAGTTTTAAGTGAAACAAAATTAGCAAAACAAATAATAAATTTATTACTTTTCAATAATTTCTATCTAGCGATATCGAAGAATTCAAAAAGAAAGCGACGAATTATCGTATACAGTTTGGTCACTCGTTAAGGTCCGCAGTTGTCAGAGTAAGGGGTTAATCTTAACCTCTCGCGCTAGAATGACGTGCCACATCGAGAATTTTTTCTTCCGAAATTGTAATATTTTTTTCAGTTTTAAGTATATTTAGGTAAAACAAAATAGGCAAAACAAATAACAAATTTATTACTTCTGAATAATTTCTATCCAGCGATATCGTACCGACGAGTTCAAAAAGAAAGCGACGAATTATCGTATACAGTTTGGTCACTCGTTAAGGTCCGCAGTTGTCAGAGTAAGGGGTTAATCTTAACCTCTCGCGCTAGAATGACGTGCCACATCGAGAATTTTTTCTTCCGAAATTGTAATATTTTTTTCAGTTTTAAGTATATTTAGGTAAAACAAAATAGGCAAAACAAATAACAAATTTATTACTTCTCAATAATTTCTATCCAGCGATATCGTACCGACGAGTTCAAAAAGAAAGCGACGAATTATTGTATACGGTTTGGTCACTCGTTATGGTCCGCAATCGATTGCCAGCGCAACTGGTTGAAGAAGAACTAAGGTCTGCAAATAAGTAAGTGATAACTTGTTCTCGCGCAAGTTTCGACAAAGGAGGGACGTCGTTGGTAAAATCGTTGCCCCGAATGATTTATGCGAGTCGTTGCCTTTGCGAATTTAACGCGTCCATCAAGTACGGTTAACGCTTCGAAAAACAACGGCGATATTGAAATTTAAAATTCCCCGGAGATCGGTTGACGGACGTGTAGTCGTTTCAACTGGCGTTTCGCATTAAATTTTATCCCGGTGCGTTCAAATGAATTTCCCATGGGGATGATAGAACTCGCCGATTCTCCCAGAATTTCCTCGAGTTGGTTCGCGTAATTGAATTACTCTTTCTACCCCTGTCTTAAACAATTCATTCGCGCGATAATGTCGCCGGACACGATCCCGAGTTTGTCGTTTAGTCGAGCCTCGATATCATAAAAGAAGTATCGCAAACTTCTCGGCATGCAACGAACGCTACGAAGACGAGAATTGCAACCCTAGCGCTCGATTCGCATTCTATAATACGATCTCGTGCGCTAACAAAGTAATTAATTTCCAAGGAAATTTTAGCACAGCGTGGGAACTTTCTGTCCACGTTAATAAACATGCAAAGCGACGGCGCATTTTCACGACGGCGTTACATTGTTAATTACGGCGGTGTTGTTGCTTTCAGTTCAAAGGGCGCTGCAAATTGTCGTCGTTCGTTTCAGGTTGCAGGCGAAACTAGAATCTCGAAAAATTCCAGATGAAATATTTACGAGAATCGAGTGACGAGTTTTTTTTTATTTTTTAACTGGTCTCTTTCCGTTCTTAATCTCTTGCGCTCGAACGAGTACATTTAAGTATATATAACCCAGCCAAAACAGATAATAAATTTATAACATCTGTCCAGTGATACCGACGAGTTCAAAAGAACAAGAAAATGACGAGTTATTGTGTACGGTTCGGTCGCTCGTTATGGTCCGCAATCGGTTGCCAGCGCAAGTGGTTAAAAAAAAAAAAAGAAGGGACGAAACTCGCGAACCGGAAACGGCGAGAAGTTTTCCCACGTACGGAAATAATTTTAATTAAATTTCGCCGAAAGCCACAGCGCTCGAATTTTTCTCAGTGCCTCGAGGAAAAAACGAGTAGGCCGGTAAAAAATCACCATAAATCAGGAAAGTTAACGCAAACTTCGTTACCTGTACGCGTCCTCGGAGACGTTTATTTTGCCTGGCTCGCCGGTGGTCTCCGTTCGGCTGGTGAGATTCACCGTGTTCCCAAACAGGCAGTAACGAGGCATACGGTGTCCAATTACCCCGGTCACAACCTCCCCGCTATGGATGCCGATGGTGATTTTCTGCGAGGAAGAATTCGCACGTTTGTCAGACGGTTCTTCTCTCCATTTCTTCTTTTTTTTCTTTCTTTCTTTCTTACGCACGACTGGTGAGAATTCGCGCGAACGTTGCCGGCGGAAGCTCTCGGATGTGAACAGGAAGTGTGCATTCAGGAAGGGGAACAACAGTCTCTCTACGGGTATCCGAATGAAAGAGATCTTGCCGAGTACCTGGCTCAGTTTCCGCGAAATGCAATTGAGAAGTCGAGCAACGTTCAACTCGTTCAGCGGCATTTTCTGTTATTTAATCGCGTTCGCCGTGTACACTCTGGCGAGTGCCGAGTACCCGGAGATGAAAACGAATTCTGCACTCGCATTTTTCCCGGGCGTTCATTCGCGAATTTAAACTTTCCAACTCGCCTGTTCCCTATGAATTTAGCTAACTGCCAGAATAATAAAGTTTCTTCATGGTTGCTGAATAATTGTAGGTACGATTAATATATAATGTGAGTAATTATAGTTATAATTACAGGCACGGTGTAATATAACATAACGATGTAGGAGGAATAATAAAATTTCGAAAGAAGAAATTCTTGAGAATAAAGGCAGTTGATATTCATTATCATCGAATTACTATTCGAATAATTCGGGATAACTCACATAAACTAAACTTCTTACTGCTTCTTACGAAAGTTTGTAAAATGACGGGGAAAATTCTTCAGAAAATTGAAATTATGCTACACTTGATTGCTTTAAAGTCACGTACTGGAGAAATATAATCAACAAAATTTCATGCTAAATTCAAACAATTAAACAGGATGAATATTTCCAATGCTAAATCATTCGATTTGAAGTGATATTTCACTCGCTATTTCGTAAATAAATTGTTGCAACAGATGATACAAAAAAAAAGAGTAATGTTTCTCCCTTTGCAAAGAGTTAAAGTAACGAGCAATGTTGTTCAAAGCATCAATGTCGCGGTTGGATTGTGAATTTTCGTGCATCTGTTGCAGGATGTAATAAATTTCAGGATGCAAGGATGCACGGGAACATGCATACAGCGTGCAAAAACATAAAATGTATAAAATACCGAAAACAGAGTGCTCGTCAGTATTTAACATTGGAAATAAATTTTTTGCCTCAGCTACGCTCGAAGGAATTCCAGATTGCCGAAGAATCCGCATTTAATTGAATAAACGTCGCTGGCGAATAAACGGAAATCGCGTAACGCCTCGAAAGATACCGCAACGAGATATAACTTCGTCGGCCGTAATTTCGCCGGGATGGTTTCGCGAAAGGGGATCGTGGAATTCCATTTCGCCGGAGAGAAGAAAATTATTCATCGCATTTTCGTCGGTGCCGCGCCGGCGATAAACTGGTAACAGGAGAGATGATAAACGTATCCCCGGGGATTGATGTTATCATTCCGAGTGATTCCACGCGCGAACACACGAGAATCGAAGGCCGCGAGGCGGCAGCATAAAAATTATGGGGGCTTACCACTGGCTCGCCATCGATCTGCACCTCGTCCGCGGCTAGATCCATCATATCCAATGCGAGACGGGCGATGCATCGTGCATGGCAACGACACGGCTCCGGTAATCCGCTCACGGCCATGTATTTGTCACCAACAGTCTCGACCTAGTACGACCAAAGTGGATCAGCGCTAACAAGCCTTCTCGTAAATTCAAATGTATATTCGTCGCCGCCTCTGTAATCGTCCGACGCGAATCTTAGCGTCCCTGTTAACCCTTTGGCTACTGCTGGCGCCAAAATTTTAAAATTTGCTCTCGAGATTGGCAATAATTGCAGCCAAATCTCACTGAGTAAATGAACTCTAATTCGATAGTTACATCCTCCGTTAATCACACGTTATTTATACGTGATTATCTAATAGTTGATTCATTTATGAAATTTTATTTGGTGCAGTAGTAAATTAATCAGAAAAAGATGCAAATGTATAGTATGTAGACGAAGAGAAACGCATTGTCGGACTTTCCATGCAAAAAGGAAGTCCCAAGGGATGGAAAAGTTTCGTTTCTATTATTATTTAGAATGACCAGTGTTTCCAACAATGGTAGCGATTTGCTGCTGGTCGCAACCGTCCATTAACGGATTTTAAACGGCACGCGTTACGATGAAACTTTCTTTCCAACGTGAGGCCGCCTTTCGAAAATATATAGTACCGCGACGCGATCGCCACGAACTGAAACGGACTTTACAGACACACTTTCTACATATACTACCGCTATCTTTGTCGATCCGAGCTGCAACGATTCAACTTCCATTTCGGTGGAACTGTAAACATTTCGTTGCCTTCACATTTGCCTCCAATTGTTCTATAAACGTACCAAATCTTCAAACTGTACGATCGAGTTGTCGTCGAGCAATCGTAACCTTTTTCTCTTCTACAAATTAATACTCAAAAACGAAAAAAAAAAAAATCTTAATTCTATAGGGTGGCGACTGAAAAACTGAAGGGTTTGGAGAATTCATAAAAGAAAAATTCACACATAATACTGAAGAAAGATCCATCATTTGTGTTTCCAAACAAAATAACAAAAAATTTTAAAAACGTGTTTGTAAAAGTTGTAATTCTGTTTCATATCGCACCACAGTCTTTCAGCGACCACCCTATATTTAGTTTGAACATAGAATTATCCAGAGAAGCTGGCTTCAACAGGGATTCCTCGACGAGGCAAACGCTCACCTTGTACACGTTCGGATTCTTCTTTGGATCGGTGAGCACGTCGAACGCCGTGTACAGCTGATTGAGCATGTTGACGATTTTCATCGCGCCGCTGGAGTCTGTGTGAGCGGCGCAGTACGCCCCGAAGCCGACGATCCCGGAGAACAAGAGGGTCACGCAGTCGTACTTCTTCGCCGGAACCGGCCTCGAGTGCCTCAGCTCGTTCGCCACGGAAATGGGCAGCACCGAGTACAACAATCTGCGGGACACGAGCAACTTTTCACCGACAGCCTCCTTCGAATCGTTGATTTCGAGTTGGCTCACTTTTAACCGGTTCAAACGTCAAACACGAGCTTTCCCTTGCTTTTTCTCTAATTTTCGCGAATTATTTGACACGTTCGACTGGTCCGAGCGTCGAGATTCTGTTAAATTTACGATCGACGCGTTGGAAGACCATTGGCTAATGATACTTGCCATAATTAATGGATAAATCTTCTCTCTGTCGAATACATTCTCGGCTCCTTCATTTAGAAACGTTGAAACGTATTTCGATAGGAAGCGAAAATTGGAATCGTTCAAAGTCGCGGTTCGATCATTCGCTCGACCTCTTTCAATTTTCACGCCTGCCGTCGCTTTGAATCCGTCGTATCACTCGAGGTAAATTCACTTCCAGATTAAGACATCTCGTGGCACGCCGCGATCACCATCGTCGACGTTTCAAAGCGTCGAAACAGACAGAGGCTTGAGAAATGCCACACCTCTCGAGACGAAGGAGAAAGAGAGAGAGAGAGAGAGAGATAAAAAAGAAATCACGATCCAATTTCCGGCAGGGGAGAGTATCCTGTCAAGTAAGAAACCCCGAGGACGCCGAGGAAGTCGATTCCTCGGCAGAATTGCGTCAGGATAAATGGCAAACGAGGCCAATGGGGATTTCCTTAATCAGAAAATTACGGGAACGGAAATCCTTACCTGTCGGTTTTCTGCTTCTCGCCGTCGAGCTCGCGATACGTCTGTTGCAATTTATCGGTAAGCAATTCCAAGTTCCTCGTTAATTTGTAATCAGCCTCGAATTGCTCCGACATCAGCACGAGATCTCTGGTGGCGTCGTGAAGGGGGATGTCGCTCAGGTACAAGCCTCGCCTGACAATCAGAAACGCCCCGAAGTAAAAAGTAAAAGGGCTCACTGCCGCGTCGATTGAGAAACGCGCGAGAGCGTTAACGAGCTACGTTTGAGCGATTAGTTTGTTTGACGTGTGATACGCAATTTGCATCGCGCATCAGCGATGGCATCGAAATCTAAAGGAACGTCTTATTTTTAAATTTTTTAAATGCATCTTGCAAAGATTGTACAAATAGGCGATGAAATTGAAAATCTGTTGATTCTGTTTTTTTTGCAAATGAATTGAGTAAGTTTGAAAGTTTCGTTTTCCCTTTTTTTAAACAAAAATATGTTTCTTGAATCATATATTATATACATATGTAAAGAAGATCTCTCTTGCGTTGAAACGATTAACATTCCAATGTTAATAGTTAATATATGTAATAAAGCTGTAAACTTAAGTATCAATAATCTTAAACTATTAAGTATCGACAAACTTGGATCGTAGACACAATATTTTCCTGTAAAGTAGCGAACGACTTTTTTCAATATTCTAAATATTTCAATTTCGTATGATACTTGAAACATTCATAGCGTTTCTTTTCTTCATATCTACAAATTAAAAAAATAATTACAAGTATCATGTATGACACGTATGTTTAATATCCTCAAAAACGAAAAACCGAGAACGAATTTATCACACGTAACCTGACGTTTTTAATTTCGGAATCAAAATTATTTCCACGCGAAATTATATTTCATGACACTGCAATGCTTAAGATCTATTGTTCCTTCAAGAATACCAAGAGTCTTCAAGTTATCTGATCCTCACAATTTAAACAACCGATGCGACAATGAAAGATCCCATTAATTCCTTGTTCGCGGCGTTCAACGATATTCGTGACTTTTCGCGGGGATCGCGGGATCCTCTCAAATCCGACGCTATTTATCTCCGACACTTCTAATCGTTCTCATTTCGGATTCAGCATTTAATCATACCTAATGTATAATTCATCGTCTCCTCTTCTCTCGCGACGACGACGCGGCTGTAAAAATGCGCACTTGAGGTTCGTTAAAGTCGAGAGCGTCAAGTTACCGGCGACGATCGGGTAAACTTTGTCAGTTCCCTCCCGAGGGATCGTAATCGTACCGCGTGCCGAAAATAATGAAATGCAGTATAATTTTCGGTCGATTTCGAACTTCAACAGCTGTCGGGTTGTCTCACTTTGCGGGGAGAAATACAGGCAGTAAACTCGGAGATAACTTTAGATTTAACCCCGTGCGCTGGCAATTGATTCGCGGACCATAACGAGCGACCAAACCGTATATAATAATTCGTCGGTATGATATCACTGGAAATTATTGAGAAGTAGTAAATTTATTATTTGTTTTGCCTATTTTAGTTTACTTAAATATATAATTTTATTCATTATAACATGTTATGCTATAATATATAATATATAATATGTTATACCTAATATAACCTATATTCTAGTTAAGTACATTGACATTTACTATGTTTATTGTTAAATTATATTATAGATTAAAGCTGTATTAACTATTTAAATAAAATAAAATTCTCTATAGTGTCAGAAAACGACATTACTTATAGGTATCTTTAATCACTTGCGCTGGCAACTGATTGCGGACCGTAACGAGTGACCAAACCGTATATTCAATAATTCGTCGCTTTCTTTCTGAACTTGTCGGTACGATATCACTGGATAGAAGATTATTAAGAAGTAGTAAATTTATTATTTGTTTTCCCTATTTTGTTTTACTTAAATGTATAATTTTACTCATTATAACGTGTTATGCTATATAATATATAATATATAATATGTTATGCCTAATATAACCCATATTCTAGTTAAATACATTGATATTTAGTGCGTTCGCTCTTAAATTATATTATAGATTAAAGCCGTATTAACTATTTAAATAAAATAAAATTCTCTACAGTGTCAGAAAACGACATTACTTGTGAATATCCTTAATCACTTGCGCTGGAAACTGATTGCGGACCGTAACGAGTGACCAAACCGTATAAATAATTCGTCGCTTTCTTTTTCTTTTGAGCTCGTCGGTGTGGCATCACCGATTAGAAATGATTGAAAAGTAATAACATTGTCACTTGTTTTGCCTGGGTTATACTCAAATATACTTAAAACTGAGAAAATGTTGTAATTTGGGACGAACGTTTCTCGACGTGCGTGGCGCAAGGGGTCAAATTCAACTTTGCTTTAAATTCAAGTACCTCGACTAACGTCTGCCCCGCTGAATCCCAGTTGGCTCGTACTGCTCTAGAAGTTATTTAGAAGGTCGATCGCCGACCACAAGAACGAAGAACGCCATCTTTAGCGAAATAACTGCGTTCGCGATAGAATTTTTTCCGCGAGACTTCCCCGATCCTCCGGAGAATTCGGCTAGGAAATAGATCGGAAGGGATCGGACGCGTTGTTTCGTGCCGTTTCGCCGCAAAGAACGAGAGGAAATGGGGGAAGAGCGGTCGAGCGTAAGGGAGAGGGGAAATTACGAGGACAACGAGAGCGAAGATTATTCGAACAGAGGCAATTCAGTGGCAGCGTGACGAGAATTTATGCTGGCAACGGAGCACCTCCAGACGCTAGAATCACTGTAATTACGCGAACCGTCTATCGAATGGCCACTACACCCGTTACTTTATCCCGAGGACAAATATTTTCCGCGCGGTGAGACAAGGCAATAGGTTACGATGAATTAATAGGGAAAGTCAGCCGTTGGTATTGGTACACGCTGCGTCTATTTCTATTTACGATAACGACCTAAATAGCCGTCGCGTTTCGGTAGCTGGAAATCGACTGACGAGTTGAGAGCTTTATATACGGATTTCTTGTTACTTCAAAGAAGGTACTTCTATTGTCTTCTACAGGGGATACTCGTATTTCTTATTTATTCGTCAGATTTTATTTCCGCTTGTTTCTATATTTTCTGTGAGACACTGTAATATAGAAATCGTTCACTGATCGTGAGAAGAAAGGCGATAGCTTTGGACGAAAAATGATCGAATAAAGATAAAATTGTATTTTTAAATAAATATTATACGATAAAATTTTTAAATACACGGGGTGTCCTCAAAATTTAAATGTCAAAACTTTGTGAGCGTGTAGAAGTTTTTTAAAGAAAAGAAAAAACAGAAAAATTTTCATTTTCTCGTTTCGTTCAACAAGTTTATTTATTCGATGATAAACGATTATTCGAGAAAACAACTAGGAGATCAAATGTACTGCGATTGTACCAAACATGACGAGATAAATGTCAATGTTTAAAGTAATGGCAGCTTACATTGCTGCCAGCATTTTCAACAGTATCTTCATTGAAAGTAGGACGATGTAGACGATAATAGATGATAATACGAATCATAAAATATATAATAACACGAATAATTGTATTAATATAATTGACAATGAAAAATAAAACTAAAATAACATATAAATAAATAAAATAAAAATAAAAATAAAATAATAATTAAAAAATAAACAAGTAGAAAAGAAACGAGAGATTCTTGTTCCTTTTGGCGCGAAATCTCTAAAGGACTTTCTTTTCTTAATTCATCAGTCCTCTATATATACTTTTAAAGCGTTACACCCTGTATAACATGTGAACGTCTGCATTATTACCGAAAGATTTCTCTCTTCATAAGTGAGAAATCTTTCTCGACAACCAAGAAAAAGAAAACACACGATTAACAATTGTTCGTTTGGCGTCGATTTCGAAATGGAAAATCAAAAAGGAACACTTTCGTCCTACTTTCGACGAAGGAAAAAGTATATAATAAAAATTTATCCGATGTGTACGGTGAAGAAGCCTAAGAACTGTGTCAGAATTGATTTATTATATTCCATTGCTGATGAGGACATCATTCCAATCGTTCTTGGAACTCTCTGTTTCTCGTCGAAAAAGATGAGAACTTTTTCGAACGTGAAATCATGACTGAGTAATATATTAATAAAGTGTTTGATTCTCGTAAAAAATTTGCCTTTAATTTGTACGCAAAGAAAAAAAAAAAAAAAAAGAAACATCAGTTATTTTTTGATCGACTTAATAACCATTTTTATCTCTCATTTTTCGCTTCGTAAGTGAGAAATCTTTCTCGACAGCCTACTAGTTCATCCGCGCAGAGACATAGTTGTATATCGTAGTCGATTTTATAGAATTCAGGGCGTTCGTCACCGACGGGCGCAACGACGATGAATGTTGTGACGTTCTCGTTCCTGCTATTGATCATAGTCGCACGTGTCGTGCCATTTGGTTCGACTGAAATTCAATTTAGCAACTATTCGATAATTGCTGCACGATGTACGGATCAATGTACGGCTGTGATGGTGGGTTTACGGATAACGATACGTCAATCGACGTGATACAATTGCCGCGACGACGCCCAGACAGTAAATTTTCGTATTGCCGTGCGCGTTTGCGGTATCGAACGGAATGCGAACGTTCGCGGCCTCTTCGATTTCTAACAAATCGAGGTCGCGCTAACGTGCTGGGGAGAAACGTGTCTCGTTAATCAACGCGATTTCGATGCGTTAATCGCGCGAAACGACGACGAGTGCCGCGTGCGTAGCGGTATACTAGCTCGGACGAGGTTTCAGCATTGGAATTTGATTGAATTTGGGTTCATCTCTCGTGATTTATCTCCATCATTCCGCTCGGTTAATCACAGTTAGTCGTTTCTTTAATTTCTTACCCTAATTTAGGCGAGCTAATTTATCTTTGACGCGAAATTTCATTCGATTTGAATCAACTGACAGTGGTCCGAGGCACAACAGCTGCACGAATTCGAAGGTTGATTGTTCGTGAGTGAGAAACATTCGTGTAGATAAATTCTTACCTAGTTAGATCATCCAAGTTCATAACGCTGGGATAACAGAGAAAGGTGACGAGGTCTGACTCCGGTATGTACAGCATTTGACCCTGGAAAAAGTAGCGTTCTTGCACGTGGCGATGAAACACGCTTATTTTCAAAACAAAAACAAAGTTTCTCGAAACCTTATTAATATATAATATATAAGAAAATACATAAATGCGATATAATATATAATATAATACGATATAATATATAATATATAATATAATATATAATATAATACGTAATATATAATATAATATACGAAAATATGTAAATATATAATACAAAAAAATTTATATATAAATAATTTAAATATAATAAAATTAATATATAATTAATATATTAATATAATTAATTATAATTAACATATAATTAATATATAATATTAAAATTTATATATAATAAAAAGAAAATACGTAAATATATAATATACGTAATATATAATATAATATACGAAAATACGTAAATATATAATACAAAGAAAATTTATATATAAATAATTTAAATATAATAAAATTAATATATAATGTTAAAATTTATATGTAATAAAAAGAAAATACGTAAATATATATAATATAATACGTAATAAATAATATAATATACAACATAATACGTAAATATATTAATTAATTAATTAAATATACAACATATAAGAAAAGACGTAATTTAGAGAAGAAAATAACAGAAAGCAACCAACCGGGAAATAACTTTCAACTGGCGTAAGTCAAAAGGTGTACTAACCTTCAAACGGAGATAGGAGTACTCCTCCGAAGCGTCGACTCGCATCACTCCCTTCTTCGTTCGTAGCACGTAAACTGTGTTTATGTGTGACAGTATGTTCTCGAACGTCAGCTCTAAATGCGGTCTTACCTGGAAACGAATAGTCGAGAGATTTATTTTCTCGCGACGATACCGGCAAATACACGCGCGAAAGCGTTTTATATTAGAAAACAATGTTCAAGTTACATCGTCCGACGCTTTGCTTGGCGAGTTAAGTAACAAGTCGCGGTATATGGAACGCGTTTATAAATATGTATCTGGCTCAACGAGACGAGATTCCTGATTCGTTATCGATCGAGCTCGTCGCATGCATTTATGCACGTGGCAACGGCATTCTGTTTCGATTTCTGCGGAGGCAGCGGTCGCGGAATATGAACGACGATCGAGGGGGGTCAGGGGAGCCAACAACGAACGAATAATTGCGCGGGCAAATGGATGAAAACGAAGTTAAAACGATGCCGTTCCCGCCGGCGCGTGTCACGTAGCGCCGCTTGGAACAAACCGCATTTAAAAGATACACGATTACGCGTGCATGAATCCGCGGGAATTATGTCGTCGGTGGCCAGCGCTCGGTGCACAATAACGCAATTTCCGCGTGGTCCGCGTCGACTAATACGCTGTTTTTCTCGTGGACAAAACGGCGCCAGCCCGATTCCTCGCTAACGCCTCGACGCGATCAATTCTCCCGCAATTCAGTGTTTCAAACGACACTCTCTCGCTAGTAATTTATAAACGTAACTCCGAGAAAAATTCTATAATTATCAATGGCAGGGTGAGATATTTGTGTCGTTGAGAATAATAAAACGTCACGTGTATGTCTATATTTGACATGCATGCATTTACAGATGTATTAATGGTATCGATATATCGTAAATTAACTTTATTATTTGTCATTGTCGTACCACAAGCACTTTGGCCTCTTTATCACGTCACGCTCCTCTCAGATTAATTACTCTGGATAGAAGAAGAATATCTGCTTTCGTTAAAAAAATCGTCTCGTGCTTTTTCCCGTATTTATATCGCAAATAACGTCGAAATGAAATACCTAAACGATGAATGTTGGATGGCCGTTGGACTGAATAAATTAAATATTCTCAGATGGAACGTGCCACGAATTATTTTCACTTTATTTTTATTCATTTATTTATTTATTTTCTTTTGAACAAAATGTTTGAACAAAATCTTCCATCAGTGACCTATTGTTATTTGCGTGGCTTTCGAACGAGGTTAATGAGCGAATATATTTATTGTTTGTCGATGAAATCAGTACGACAATAGAAATTATAATCGTTCGTTGAATGCACAGCAACACAGTCAAAATCTAAATGTTTAACATGCTCTCTATCAGTGACCAAATATTTATCATACACGGATAGACTTCACAGACACAAAGTCGGATCCAAATTAATATTAGTGTTGCAATTTCTGTTTATGGGTGGTATTCTACGAGGTAATTACAAATGCAACGTATAATTGGATGCAAGATTTGCAAAATTTCCATGGCCGGAGATATAGCGAGGACGTTGGTAGCACATGACGCATCGTTCATGCGAGTTATAATTACAGGAACTTACGGTCAGAAGGATGTCGTTCAGCTTGCAATTACCAGAGCACACTTGAGGGATAACACGGGTTATGGTGCATCCAGTTTGAACTATAGTGAGGTCTCGGTTGAACATCAGGTGGAATGGAAAAACTCGACAGAACGTCATCGGGCTCACTTTCGGTTCTACGGCACACATCATGTTTTTGCAATAGCTTTCAACAAAGCTTTCCATTTGTTCTTCGTTCTTCATTCACGTCGGTGCTTCACCGATTTTAATGTACGATAACATTTACTTTATCCCTGATATTATAAAATGTTATGCCGAACACGACTAAATGGAATTAAATGTTTTTTTATCATCTGGAAAATTTCTCTTTCCCTTTTTATGGAACCGACCGCGTACATATAGCGAAAAAACTGAATTAAAATCTCCATAAATGTTTCACAAAAATTCTAAAAATATAAAAGATAAAGCACGCTCGCTGTATCCATGAGAGCCTGACATCGATATACACCTGGCGTTAAATTTATTACGAGCTAAAGTACATTATATTCAATATTCGTTCTTTCAATTCATTTTTTTTTTTTTTTTTCAATAGCACGCTTCTTGCTTTTACAGTCCGCTGTAATTAGAAAAACTGAACGCGTTGGAAAAATGATTTAAGAGATCTCGGGGAGGTAGCCCCCATTGTCGGAGGGCTGCATTCGTTAAACCAATTTTTTTTTCGTGTCATATTTTTATCATAAATTTTCAATGAATTTGTCTGCGAATTTTCCAGCGAGTGTTCCAGATTTTATTTGAGCTTGAGAGAATGTTTGAAAAATTATACGTAATAATAAGTTTTGTTACTCACCGACGGATAAAGTTTCAAGCTCGGCGATCATGGGATTTGACACGACCCCAGGACCGGACGTGTTCGTGATCAAAAACTGCACATGATCGCACTCGTTTTTCGTCTTCAGTATTCGCATCTCTATGTCCGTGCCGTGAAGCTTTTTCGCCACGGTCTACGGCGAAAGACAAAGTACAATCGATTCAGTCGCAGTTCGTTTTAGCCCCGGATGAATTTCGTCGGGATGGAAATTAAATACTGCAAAATTTGGTTAGTTGACGCAGCTGTTCTCTTGGAAATATACGCGGTTCGAAATGTCAGAGCGTCACGAAGGTAAATTGCGTTTGAATAATTACTACAGAAATCCCGACCTTGCGTTGTAACTAACAATTTCCTTTTAAAAGTAAATGACACGCTTGGTGCAATTAACAAGCGGAGTTAACAAAATTTTTGTCGAGCAAACAACTGTATGTTGTACAATTCTGCGTCGTTAAATTTTCCATAAATGCGTGAACATTCGCTCTACGTACGTATTGAAATCTTGAAACTGCAAATCACAAGATTCGTTATTCATGTATTGATACATTCGCGACCGTTGAATTTACGTCTTTTCAAATTCTGTTTCTTCTTCATTACAAACATCAGATCGTTAGAAGACTAATATCTCAAAACAAATTTTCTAATTTTTGTCAAACCTGTCAGAAATTTGCGGCAATTGGCTTGAGTATTAGAGAAGAAAACAGTTTGTCGGTCGCAAATGTGTTGAGAATCTTCGTAGTTTTTGCGTTTCAAGTCCGATAAATAAATAAAATAAAATATGTAAAATATATATATAAATAAATAAATAAAATAAAATATATAATATATATATAAATAAATAAAATAAAATATATAAAATATATATATAAATAAATAAAATAAGATATATAAAATATATATAAATAAGTAAAATGAAATATATAAAATATATATATATAAATAAATAAAATAAGATATATAAAATATATATATAAATAAATAAAATAAAATATATATATAAGTAAATAAAATAAAAAATGTAAAATATATATATATAAATAAATAAAATAAAATATATAAAATATATATATAAATAAATAAAATAAGATATGTAAAATATATATATAAATAAATAAAATAAAATATATAAAATATATATATAAATAAATAAAATAAAATATGTAAAATATATATATATGTAAATAAATAAAATAAAATATGTAAAATATATATATATATATATAAATAAATAAAATAAAATATATATATATATTTTTTTCAAGCGGTAAAAGTACCTTGACTATGCCAATCACAATGTGCTCCAAACCAGGTCGATCGGAGTAATAATGCAATATAAGCGCTCCGTCCTCGGGCCTCTCGGTACATCGGAAAGAGGGTGCCCTCATTCCCGGATACAAAGTGCCTAAATGGTCGTGGAGGGCGTCCAAATTCTGTAATTAAAGGTTACACGACTCCCCCTGTCAATCTATCGCCGCGTGCGCCATTATCGGGCATCGCGTTCCGCTTAAGTAAAACATTCCTCTGCCCCTAATTTATTTCCGATTGCCAGTTCGCGTTTCAACCGGCCACGGTGATCAGCGAGCGCCCGCGCCATTTCACCGTGTAACGCTCGTTACGCTTTTCCAATTCAATTTCTGCCATTAATTTCCATCGTCGATGCGTCGCGTGTCGATATCTCAGGACGGACGCGAGAATTTTCCAAGTTGGAGCGCGGACGTAGAATAACTGGCCGTGCGTGACTGTCTCGAGTCGAGGGAGAACCGGAAATCAGACTTGGCGATAACGATCTCGCCTCGCTGGCAACTGACATTTCGCTTGTTAATTGATTCGTTCGTCGCGAACGAAGTTGCCGCTCGCGCAGGTCGCGGATGATTTTTTAATTTCGCGTCTCGCCGAAATTTTGAGATTACGCTCCATCTTGCGCAGACTCTCGAGAACTTCAGCAATTATGTTCTCGTAATTCGTTGTTATCGAACAAATTGAAAACCTTTGAATTTCCGTGACGTCGCGCGTATTTGTGATAATGACGCAGACGTTACCTGCAGGTAAATGACGCAACTGCGGAATTGTCTCCCTGCAAGATCCTGTTTCAGAACGTAGCCATCCCGCAGGCGAGACGCGTATACGCGTGCACACGCGATTAAGTTGAGATTCCGTATCTCTCGCACGTAACCGCGTAATATATGTCTTTCGTAATTATACGAAAGCAAAACCGTATGTTCACCGTGCCAGAGGTGAATTCGAATGTGAATGACTAAACACCGCGAGATGTTAAACAGAACCCATGAATTTATAATTAATCCGAACGCCGCTCGCTCGCGTTTCTGAATGAACATATGCAAACGAGCACTCTGTCGCGGTTCTTTTCTCCCGTTCGAGCAACGGAATTAAATTGCAAGATAGTCGAAATATGGCGAAGTAATCCACTGTCTGAACGTACTCGATGGTCTTTGACAATTTTGTTATCTAAATAGACACGCGGGTGCAGCGTGCGATAATTAGTAGGAAAACAAACGAACGATTGGACCGTTGAAACGCCGTAAAGAAATCACGGGTAATTTATCGGTTAGGCGGGCGACGAAAACATTTTCCAGCGAGACTGGCAATATACCGCGGTATTTCGGCCACATGAACGGGTTTACGCGCTTTTTGTTTGATCATTCAGCCGTGATCATTCATTTTGCCGCAATCGGCGCGGCTACTGGCGCGACGCGTTTCTCTCAAACGAGTGCATCGCGAACAACAAGCCCGTGTACATACGTACACATCGCGAAGACACTGCGTGCCTGATACTACGAACAGTATCGTGAATTGTCCGATACGAACGTATAATGAGGACAGAAGTGACGAACGAGTGGAGACTAACAATAAGTTGTCTCGAATCGGATCGCAAATGGTCTTAAAGTTTGTGAAAGAATTCTGGAGCCTTAAACAGTTAAGTAACGTGCAACTTAAGATGTGGATTTCGTTCTAAACTGAAAATTCATTGCATAATTTGATAGCTGATTGTTCAAGATTGATTTAGAGAAAGAAAAATGTACGGTCTCGTCGATTTCGAAGTGGAAAATTAAAAAGGAACTTTAGTACTCTACTCTACTTCCGAGAAGGAAAAATTAGTCGATGTGTACGGTGAATAAGCCTCAAAACTGTAAATTCCTAATGAGAACATCATTATTCTAATCGTTCTTGGAACTGTTTCTCGTCGGAAATAAATGGGAATTTTTTCGTACGTGGAATCATAAAGTTGCCAAACGAAAGGTGGTAAAAAGTGGTCGAACGAAATGATCGACATATTTGTTTCTCGTGAAAAATTTGCCTTTAATTTGTACGCGAAAAAATAAAACGCAGTTATATTTTGGTACTTATACTTTTCATTATATTTTATATTATTAATAGTATTATTAATTAAAATTTAATAGTAATTATTTTTATTATTAATAGTAAAATTTTAGTATTATTAATTTATAGTATTAGTATTATATTTTAACTTATACTTTTTATTATATTTTATATTATATTATAGTATTATTAATTTAAAATAAAATTTAATACTAATTATTTTTATTATTAATAATAAAATTTTAGTATTATTAATTTAAAATAAAATTTAATAATAATTATTTTTATTATTAATAATAAAATTTTAGTATTATTAATTTACAATAAAATATAATAATAACTATTTTTATTATTAATAATAAAATTTTAGTATTATTAATTTATAGCATTAGTATTATATTTTAACTTATACTTTTTATTACATTTCATATTATATTATAGTATTATTAATTTAAAATAAAATTTAATAGCAATTATTTTTATCATTAATGGTAAAATTTAGTATTATTAATTCACAGCATTAGTATTATATTTCAACTTACACTTTTTATTATATATTATATTAATTTAAAATAAAATTTAATAATAATTATTTTTATTATTAACAATAAAATTTTAGTATTATTAATTTATAGCATTAGTATTACATTTTAACTTTATACTTTTTATTATATTTTATATTATATTAATAGTATTATTAATTTAAAATAAACTTTAATGACAATTATTTTTATTATTAATAACAAAATTTTAGTATTACTAATTTACAGTATTAGTATTATATTTTGATCAACCGATACGTTTTCTCTTTCTCATTATCATCATCAATATACTTAAAACCTTACAGTCGAATTATTATATATTGGACGCAAACGTTCCACGAGTTACGCGCAAGTTTCATTTCGTCCACGCGTTTCTATCCAATCTCTTTCTTTTGCGCAATCCTATCGCATTACGCAATGGAACGTCCGCGCGTAAGAACGACAATCTACCCACATACGTATGCACGTGTCATCGTTTTAGAAAACTTTCACCGCAATCCGCAGTCGGAGTCGCGCCGGGGAATCCACCTCGGGGCAATCTCGCTCCGAAGGAAAGCGAAGGAAGCGAAGGAACAAAGAAGCGTCGTGACGGAAGTGTAGGAAGGTATCGAGGCGCGATTTTACCTGCAAAAAATCTCTGGGCGTCGCCCCGAGCACCTGCAGAATCTTGTCGTAGCCGGAGTCCTGGCAGAACTCGAAGAACATCCGGCCAAACAGCTCGAGGATCTCGTTCGCTGGAATGTCTGCAAGATTTCGCCGGGTATATCATCGGCACGGGAATTTGATTTTCGGGGTTGAACGACGTTTGCCGCGTTAAATGGCTGCTGTCGATACCGGCGTCGTTCAAGGGATAACGTCACAATTTCCCAGAGACACCGTGCGCCGCACGCTCTCCAACGAGAAATGACAATTTTCCCGTTGCAGAGAAGAGATTAGCTCGAACGTCGATGCCTCGCGACAAATTGCTCGTCGAGGGAGATTACAGAGTTGAAGGTTTCCAAGCGATTGGCTCGTTTTTCTTCTTTTTTCACTCTCTCTCTCTCTCTCTCTCTCTCTCTCTCTCTCCCTCGTTTCCTATTTTCAGTCGAAGATTTATGGCGCGATACGCGGTGGGTGTGTAACGTCGTTGTTATTCCGTTTTTTGTAAAATTCACCACCCGTCAAAGTGAAAGAAGTGAAAAGACTTTGGATTCGCTTACGACCGCGTCATAACTGCGTTTAGAATAGAAGTGGTTTTGTGCTTGTGAGAGATGTCGAAAAAATATTTCGCTCCGATCTCGTGTACACGGTATATCTCGGGAAATACGATTAGCCTTGTAGAAACGATGACTGGGACGAATATAATTCGAGGACGAGTTGCACGAAAATTTGAATAACAGCGACAAAGGATAAAAATATTTGGAAGATGTTGGCGGGATCTTAATGAGATGAAATATCGTTGGGAATTTAACTGGAGGAAATAGATAGAAGATAATTGTTTGGATATAGGTTAAGAATCTCAATAGGATTAAAAGATTCGGTATCGAAGCCGCTGTTAGGTCAAACTTTCGTGTTCCATTGACGCCAAAATCGTTCGAGTTTCGTTAAAAATGGACCGGGAGCTGTATACTGTTTTAGCGAAATAGAGATGTAATTAGAAGCTGACATTTTCGAAGGAAAAATACGTACTGAGTCGATTGACAGCTGCCGATATGATGTTGTACGTGATTTCATCGTCGTATATCTGACGGACCAGGAACTGTCCTTCCATGTTAACCGCGGCATCTTTCCTGCGTAAATGAGACATTAATAAGCATTGGCCTTTACTTGAAACTCAGCCCCCACACATTAATCTAATTTTCGAAGGATACATGCAGGATGGATACACAACAGAAACAACTGAAAATCGAATAGCGGTGTGAATTAACATTCCGAGAGTTTGTACTTCGTATACTCCGCTAGTTTCGCAATCAATTAAATCGCCACCGTATCTCCCGTTTCCGCGTTTCCATAATTCGATAAATGAATTCAACTGCGACGCAATGTCGTTTCACTGAAAAAATCCAAACAGAGTTGCGCTGCTACACGATGTAACCTCTTGCGCTGGAATGGCAGCACGTCGAGAACATTTTGTGCCAAATTGCAACATTTCCTCAGTTTTAAATATATATATTTAAATGTAAACCGAGCGAGACAAATGATAAGTTTATTACTTCATAATCAAACGAAATAGAAAGCGACGAGTTATTGTATGACGGTTCGGTCACTCGTTATGGTCCGCGAACCGGTTGCCAGCGCAGGGGATTAATTATCACAAAAAAATTTTCGATTACGAAGCAACAGCCCGCGTTTCTTCGATCAACACTTTGTTCAGGGGATATTTATTAGCGGGTGCGTCGAAAAGTTGGCGCGGCCAAGCATCGATTTTATTAAAATCTAGAAAGGTCGGTTAACGAGTCGTTTTTATTCTCTATCGGAGAGGGGAGTGGGAATGGATTCTCGGGAAATTGAAAGTGTCGTTGTGTAATCCAGCAAAGGCGCGTTTCTTTTACTTTCCTCTTTCTCTTCTTCCTTTTTCTCTCGTCTTTCGCCGAGAGGTTCGGAGGAAAATTAATTGGTTCTTGCGCGTCGTATTCGAGACAAAGTAAATACTTCTCAGCGGCTGAAAGCCGAGCATTTCGCAGGCCAGACGCTCCTGACTGATTCACTGTTAAACTTACAAAGTACAGTTTAAAGACACTCGATCGTTTGACATGGATATGAGCTGTCACTACGGTCTCGCCGCAGCATTTTCGCATAACTTCCCGCCGGGAAACTACTTAACGTTCGACCAAAAGCCACGATACAATCTTCACCATTCACCGAGATTATTTCTGCTCTGCTACGAGCTCGAAGCATTCTAGGTGCTTTGGAAAAGCTAAAAATTCAAGTGAAAGTCTCTGATAAATTCTCAAATTAGAATGCGTACACGTACACTCTCAATGTTCAATTTCTGCTTCCATAAGGCACAAAAAGGAATCTTTGTCTGAAATTTACTTTGTCTCGAATACGCTGCAATGAAAAAAAATAGCACGTTAAAGAGTAAACAGCTAATTACTACCGAAAACAGACGAAAGAAAACTCCTCTCGAATACGGTGTTTGACGTGGCCGATAATTGCGTCGACTTTTGCGTATGAATTTACGGGAAATAGGACGCTCGACGCGTGTGAGAAGCTCCGTGAACCGAAACACGCCAACGAGATGGCGGAAATTACATCGCGCAACTTGCAAACACACCGGTGACGACGAAACGCGATTTAGGACAGGTTAAAGTGACCCTTTCCTCCCTCGAAGAGACTTCAAGAGAGTCATCTCGTGATATCTTGAGGGTAACCCACATTTTCGTAACCTCCCACCCGGATATTCCCGGGACAAACATCGTCCAACCGAGACTCCATCACAACCGACGGCCGCTTCTTTTATTTCGAAGAGAAGCTGATATTGATTCTGCCCACGACTCTGTAGCAAAATTATCTCTCAAGAAAATAAAAAAAAGTTGACCTCGAAGTCGTTTCATTATTATAAATTATTTCCGCGAATTCTTTGTTCTATTCGTTACGTACACGACAAGATTACATTTGTAATGTAATTTCCATTTGCGTTGGTGCACGTTGAATAACGGACGATTGTTATCATTTAATAATGTATCGACGTTAAATGACAAAATCACCATTATTTGGAATAAAGCAGAGACACGCGAACGATTAAACAGATCCGTTTGTTCAAACGAATTTCGTTCGTTCGCTGTTGCTCCGTTATATTCGATTCTGACCACCGACGAAACGAGGCTTTCGAGGGAGAGAAAACGCGCAACAGCGGCGAATGCTAACGAACAAGCCGCACGCACCAATTTCCGCTAATAATAATTATCCTCCGCAGGCAACAACCTGCGTCTCGCTAATAAACACTGCCGCTCCTGTGAAAGCGCGGAAAACTAGACTTTCATGGAACAAGTTGCGTAATGGGCTAATATTCTTGGCCGAGTTGACTCCGCGATAAATTATTCCCGAGCATTAAATCGCCGGCCAGGTTCAATTAAATCTCAGCAAATCGCGGAACTCGTGCCGTACCGACTGAGCAATAATTCTGTGTCTATTAAAAAAAAAAAAAAAAAAGAGAGAGTACACACAAATCGTAATGTAACGCGAATATCATATATATAGTCAAGGTCGTACGAATATTCCAAATCCATCAAAGAAATTTGTATGAAACGATTGTTAAGATCGAACGGATAGTGCAAGGATACGATATGTGGAATAATATGTATAAATATTGGGTAAGTAAGGGAAAGTTCCGTCATTTTCTGCAATATCGACTTTCTGAGTTTTCTTTTTTTTTTTTTTTTTTTTTTTTTTTTTGGCTAATAGATACTGATAGCTATTGAAACAATACTTGGATCAGTTTAAAAGATACTTGTCCTATTATATCGAGCAGTAGAAATTACTCGGGTTAATTAACTATTTTTTGTTTTCGCTAGTATTACAATGTGCGATTCGAAATTCATCATTTGCATTGTATACTGTAAGTATAACAAAAAAGGAAATTGTGAAAATGGCTATTGACGAGTTCTCTTCGCATGAAGAGATGATAGTATCTGATGAAGTGAATATATAACAGAGTAATTTTTATGTAAGAAAAAGTAAACGATTTCAATATTAAAAAAAAAAAAGACAGAATATAATTACGATATAATATAAATATGATTTCTCCAATACTTGTGACTTTTGTATAAAAGCACAGTTTGCACGTTAATTAAATTTGTTCAAACTTCGAACAACGCTTCGGGAAACACTTGCATCTCGCGTATATTTCCTCCAGCTCACGGCGCACAAACTTATCCCTTCGTCCCTTCTTTCGTTTCTCATTACTTCATCTTTTTATAAATTTCTCCAAGCAACCGGCAAGAGAACTTTTAAGAGAAGTTTAAAGAGAAAACCGTCGTAAGAAGTGGTTTCTACTTATAGTTATTTAGAAATACAATCGGGGAAAAAGGATTCCTCGTCTCTGTGAAAAGTTCATCCTCAACGTGAATCACGCGATTACATTTTCACAGGAAAACTGGCGCTAGAGAAACCAGCGGAGGGTTTGATAGAGAAGATGCCACCGATGTAGCGAGAAAATAAGGCGTGCGAGACGATTCGTCCCGAAGGAATCGTTCGATCGGCAAAGAACGATACGTTTATGCAGCCTGCTCGATCGAGCATTTAAGGGCCACGGCGACTATTCTCGGCAAACAGCGAAAAGCGTGCCAATATTTCGTGGACTGTGTCGCTGAATCAACAGACCCTGCAAGGATCGGGGTAAACAAAAGTTTATTACGCGAACTTGTTGATTCAATGAGAAAAGAAAAGAAAAGAAAAGAAAAGAAAAGAAAAGAAAAGAAAAGAAAAGAAAAGAAAAAGGGAATTTCCCGAGGCTCGACTCTTTCAGTTCGTTTGACACACAGTTGAACGTGCGCTGAATGTGTGCCGTTTCCACGCACGCTTGCCTCTTCGCGAGAGTGTGAAATTCTTTTGGATGTGATACGCGTCGGTATAGTTTTAGAGACGGGCGGTATAGTTTCTGAGGGTGAACAGGGAGGGAGGAAGGGTGATAAAAGGAGGTTTACGTAAGCGTAGGTGCGAATGGTGCTTGTGGGTGTGATTGACGTACTCGAAGGGAAAAAATGGCAGCGTTGAGTGCATTCGAATGGAAGAAAGAGGAATACCGAGCGAAAGGAACTTAAGGTCCGAATGTTAACGGTTGTAGCGCGACGATGTAATTACGTCACAAAGCACAACGAAATCGTTCGCGATTTGGATAAAGGCGTCAGTAGCTTCACAAGTATCGGATTTCGTAATTTCGATCGCTTTTTGTGGCCGATCGACTCGAGTTTCGTTTCGCGCTCGTTTCACAAATATTTCGAAAAAATCCATCGTGCGTTCGATTAATTTGAGACTGAACAATTTTTCAGCGAAAATAATTAAATTAAAAAAGCGTCGCAGAGCGTTATCGTTTGAAAATTTAGACGATAAATATTGCGATCTGTTTTCACAGAGGGAGAGAGAGAGAGAGAGAAAGAGACGCGAAACGTATTTCCCTTAAAAATATGCAATGCATATTTATGACTATCAATAAAGGGATGCATAAAATATCAAACATTTCGAAATATAATCATGAATCTTTAAATACCAAACAAACCTTCATGAATAAAGATGCAGCCCAGGTAGATACCTGTATTTCCATACCAAATTCAGGAAGAAATTGCTCGGAACCGTCGTCGAAATTCATTTACTTTCATTCGAGTTTGTTGAACGGAGATTCAGACTTCGAGTTCTCGCGAAAAGTTTTACGTGGGATTTGTACGTGATTACATTGACCAGAGAATCCAATGCGAAGCCCTCTCGTGGTAACGAATTTTCTTAAGTTAAAGAAGAAGATTCTTTAGAGAGAGAGAGAGAGATTCGATCGTCAACAAATCCCACGTCGATGGTACATCCACGCAGATCGGGACGTTAGAACGGAATAAAATAAAGCTAGGCAAGCATGGAGTCGCACCACGTGGCCTGGCGAAGCGTCTTCTTACCTCCGAGCGACAAACGGAATCGAACAAGGTCTACGAAATCGAGCCAACAGTGCCACCGTGCGAATATCGTTTAGGATCGCGAGCTAGGAGGAGGTGAAGGAAACAGAAACGTCGGATTCGTGCAAGCCGCGTGTATACAGAGCAAACGTGACACAAAAGATAGCGCTAGAGGGAGAAGAAGGAGGTGTTGAGGGTGCGAGTCGGCGCGTCGTGCGCCCACGTTTTACCTACTTTATCGCCTCCCACGTCTCGCTGTCAAAGGTCTTCACAACCAGCAACTCGAGGGCGTAATTCACAAATCCGTACTGCACATAAGACAGAAAAAAAGAAGAAGAGCCGATAGTTTGCGAACGAACGGTCGAACGAATATACGTCAGACAACGAGCGAACCGGTCGTTGCGTTTTAGTCACTCGGGTACGCGCGATTACAACTGACATCCACCGATCCGTCCGGTGTGTCGTATCTGTCCGGTTTCGTCTCGTCTGTCAGTCACGGTCCGTTCGACGGTCAGTCCTCGGGTCGTCGGCAGCCAGTCGGTCCCTTCTCGATGTCTGTCTCTCAACGTTGCAACGTACCATTGTGATTCAAAGAGAAGCGGACTGGTCGAGGCTTCCCCACGTATCATTCCATTCTAATTGCCATGGGAGCCGTGTTTACCTCGTGCACACGAGCCGCGTACTGGAAAGTCGGCCTGCCGTTCGCCGGAGACGATGGCTATCGATTTTCTGCCCTCGCAGCTGCGCCACCTAGATACAACCCTGTTACCCGTCTTCAGCTCGCCCTCCATGCGCCTCCTACACCCTTTCCGCTTGCCAATCCGCTTTTCCTCCTATTCTCGCTCTGCCATCGACGAGGATATTATTCGTCGGCCGAAAGAACTCGGAAGAGCTTCATGGAAAGCTCCGGGGCTTTCTTCTCCTCGGACCGGGCTATTCCCATTCCTTCTCCAAGTTTCCTCTTCCCATTTTCCCAGCTACCATCCGTAATACATTCCGATCGCCCATTTTGAAATCTGGAAAGTTACTCCGTTGTCCATTATCTAAAGTATCCGAGGACGCAGACGAACGCCATTGTAAGAGGTTCGAAAAGTGTTTTATGCCTCTCTTCTTTCCAACGCGAAGAAGATCTCGTTGCAGATCGTTGCAAAAAGTCGAACGATAAGTGAAGAAACTAAAGAGAGAGAGAGAGAGAGAGAGAGAGAAAGCTACGCGTGATAAATCTGTTTGTTTTTAAATCTAAGAGAACACCTAGAGCCCAACCCTTTTCGTATCAAGTTTCTTCTCCAATCTATTTTCATCAATCTCTCTCGTCATTCGGAGGCGATCGTCTTAAGCTAGAATCCTCTTGCGCTAGAATGACTTGCCACGCACGTCAAGAATCTTTTGTCCCAAATTGCAAAATTCTTTCTGTTTGAAGAATATTGAAATGTAACCCAGGTAAAACAGATAATAAATTTATTACTTTTTTATTCCTATCCAATCATTTCTATCCAGTGATATACCAACGAATTAAAAAGGAAACGAAAACGACGAATTATTGTATACGGCTCGGTCACTCGTTACGGTCCGCAATCAGTTGCCAGCGCAAGCGGTTAAACACTCGTACGTCAAGACCTTTCCCGCCTTCTTCGAATAATCGAAATATTCGAAAGCGCGAGACGTATGATTTTTATGTAAGCGAATCTAAACATGATGCACCGTGCAATTGCTAGTTCTCTTGAACCTCTTGCGCTGAAATGACAGCGCTTCGAGAATTTTTTGTGTCCGAAATTGCAACATTCTCTTTGTTTCGAAGTATATTTAAATGTACCCAGGCAAAGCAAATGATTATTACTTCTTAATAATTTCTGTCCAGTGAGTTCGAAAGGAAAAGAGAGCGGCCAATTCGGTACTCGTTATGGTCCGCAAATCAGTTGCCAGCGCAAGCGGCTAAACACTCGTACGTCAAGACCTTTCCCGCCTTCTTCGAATAATCGAAATATTCGAAAGCGCGAGACGTATGATTTTTATGTAAGCGAATCTAAACATGATGCACCGTGCAATTGCTAGTTCTCTTGAACCTCTTGCGCTGAAATGACAGCGCTTCGAGAATTTTTTGTGTCCGAAATTGCAACATTCTCTTTGTTTCGAAGTATATTTAAATGTACCCAGGCAAAGCAAATGATTATTACTTCTTAATAATTTCTGTCCAGTGAGTTCGAAAGGAAAAGAGAGCGGCCAATTCGGTACTCGTTATGGTCCGCAAATCAGTTGCCAGCGCAAGCGGTTAAACACTCGTACGTCAAGACCTTTCGCCCCTTCTTCGAATAATCGAAATATTCGAAAGCGCGAGACGTATGATTTTGATGTACGCGAATCTAAACATGATGCACCGTGCAATTGCTAGTTCTCTTGAACCTCTTGCGCTGAAATGACAACGCGTCGAGAATTTTTTGTATCCGAAATTGCAACATTCTCTTTGTTTCGAAATATAATTAAATGTAACCCAGGCAAAACGAATGATTATTACTTCTTAATAATTTCTGTCCAGTGAATTCGAAAGGAAAAGAGAACGACGAATAAGGTCACTCGTTATGGTCCGCGAACCAGTTGCCAGCGCAAGTGGTTAAAACGTACATACGTACATTTTCTTCCAATCCAGTCTTCACTTACTATTCCAACGATCGACGTTACTCGCTATAAAAAAAGTCGTTACCTACTTTCGAGTTCCGATCGAATTTGAAGATTCTTAGAACTTTCGCCGAAAAGCTCGCTCGACAAAGGAGCTCCCTCCGGCTATTCTATTAACTTTATGCTTCCTGGGAAACGGGGATGCACCGAGGCAACGTCTCGAGAGACGTCTCCAACGAAACAGAGCCGACTTCGGGGTGAAAGAAAGAGGCTCCAGCGCTCGAGGCTAGGTTTCCTTGTGAAAAAATATAACAGCCGACGTTTCTACAGATCGGGGCGAATCGGGGCAACAGGTTCAAACGGATTAGCCTCGTATTAGCGCACGGCGGAAGAAATTATACGGAGCGCGATATTATATTCCGGTCGGGCGATCCGCGCTTGGAAAACGGTGACTTCGGCGCGGCTGGGAGCAAGCTCACGGCTTAAATTGTAATTAGAAACGAAGGCAGGAATTCGTGGCGCTTCAGCTACTTTCAGAGCCCGAGCTTCCGTTTCGAAACGTCTCGAACGGACGAGTTTCAGGCTGGTGGCGCGCGAAGAGTGGGTGATCCAAAGAAATCGGAAACCACCAGTGCCTCGTATCTCTCCAGACGTGAAAAGACACTAATCCTTCAGATAAATTTGATTTTCTTTTCTCTCACTTTTCGCTTGGCCTGGATCAGGGTTAGGGTCGACACAGATTCGCAGTGACGTACGTACTCCTGATCAGATTCAGGAAATTTCAAATTAACGGCAATTTATCGAGTAGCGAGATTCAATTCGTAACAAACAATTAATAAATCCCCAGCTCGGGTTATTTAATTTTTCCGTCAAGTTAATCTCGCAGCGACCGCGGGAGATTAAGCTTGCACGCTGCATTTCCATTCCTCGTGTGGGCACGGCACTCTCGAGTATTCCGCTAATCCGCCGCAAATTATGCTCATTATACAATTACACACGCACAAAAAGAAAAAAGGAAAAAATCGTAAAAATTTTAATTGAGCTTGAAGTACGTGCGGACGGTAATTACACGCGGGTGCACAATCCACTTAATAATTTAAAGTAATAATTTGAAATCGTCTCTATAACTCGTAACGGTATTCCAAACACGAAATTCTAGTTTAACAACTCTCTTTTCAATTCTGGCTGTTTCTTTAATTTTATCACCATAACTAGTTATCAGTTATATTAGTTACTTAAAAAAAAAAATAAAAAGTCAAATTAATAGAATTATAAGAGACAAAAGAATAGCGGAAATTAAGAGAAGTTACCAAACTAGAAACTTACCTGGAAGAGCCGAGTCGTCCGGTGAACTACAAAACTGCAAAGCAAAGGACAACGTTTGATTCGTTGATTCGAAATTCACTCAACTTTCGTTCTTTTTATGATTAATTTACGCGGCGAGAAGGCGGGGAGCAAGCTAATAAGACGACAAAGAGCCGACTCTTGGCGTCCAGTTCCTCCTCAACTGCGGAAAGATCGTCGAGGGCGAATGAAAGTTTAACAGGGCCGCGACGTACTGAGAGTTACTCCTCCGAGGCGGAAGGAGAATTTGAAAATTTCGAATCAGCGATCCCGGGAACGCCGAGGACGCGTAAATATTCAAGATCCCGCCGGAGATTCGGTCGAAGTTGGCCAAAGAGCTTGATCGCTCGAATTGGGCGTCGACTCGTTTAACGTTGACCTCTTTCCCGTGGTTCTCGCGGAACATGCGTCGAAGCAATATTCACTTTTATCAACGCGCCTCCTGTTTCAAGATGGTTTTTCTGACCTCGAAAGTTTCAGTTGTCACTAGTTTCACGCATCGCGGCCGTGATTCCTCCTTACGATCTATATACATTCCCTCGCAGCGCTTCTTTTACGCGAGTCTTTTACCATAATTTGATCACCAACACCCATGGAACATTAATGTATGGTATGCAAATAGTTCCAATTTGCAGCTTTCATCTTCGAGACAAATTGTTCCTTAACCATTAAGGAGATATTTAGGACCAATACTTTTTTAATAAGTTAAATATTTTAATTTTATTTCATTTCTAATGGAATTTTATATTCTTCCGATTTATGATGAAAAGAAAGTGTAGCCCAATTAAAAATGATAAAGGTGACCTTTGAAAGTTCGAAACCTTTCAACACACGAAAAATTAATTAAAAAAAAAAAAATTTACTTCCGTTTCCTGAAATGTCATTATTATTATTATTCGTTTGTTAACCTACGTGAAATGAAATAAATATGTGTTCCTGTAACTCGCACCAGCTTCTACTTCCTTTCAATATTTGGTTTCCTTTCGATTTCCATTTACGCGTAAAACAAGGGAATGGAGTGACTTTGGCGTGGTTGCCAAATTTTCCCTCTGTTTCTCCGTCGATCGTCGTTGTTTTCGCGGCGGATTATCGGCGCGATCAGGCGACGCGCATCCGTGATGTCGACACACTTTCGGGCGAAAACTGCCAGATGTTTACTCCCGCAGCTGTCGCGCAGCTTCAGAGATGAACGGGCCACGTCAGACTCGCAATATCGGTATATAGGGCAGCGCGAGGGAATCGCGAAGACCTCGCCCTGATTGTGAAAGGCCAAAAGGGCACGGTTGATGCTCGAGCTCCGACTGATCCCAAGCGAGAGCCAACCGCCAGGGATCCGTTTCAGAAACGATTCGTTTACGTTAATTTCGTTGTTTCGCTTCGTCAACGACGCAACGAACTCGAATTTCAGAACGAGGTTGACGAGTCGATGTCGAGCTGAATGATCGGAGAGATCTTTCGATTGTTTCCTTGAGCGTGCAAGAAATCATCGCGCCGCGGATATGGAATTTAACTAGCCCAAGTTTCTCTCGAACAAGTTATTCCCCCTCTCCACCCTTTCGCGTTTCGTAGCGAGCTTCTGCGTTTATCGTGCAGAGTTGAGTTACCCTCGAGGGACGAGATGAGATAACCGAAACCGGTTCTTGGCTCGATAAGGGAGGTTAACGCATTTACAACCCCTGGTACAGAGACAAACATAACGTCTATACAACGCAGAGTTGGGGATGTTTTATTTGAACG